CTCCACCTCGGCCTGACCAGGCGCCAGACGAACGGCGGTCGACCCCAGCCTGGGGCTCCGCATTAGGCCAGAGGTGCTGCGTCTGGCACCCGAGGCAGCCTCCCTCACCCGACGTGCCGGACTCCCCAGTCCCATCACTCCCGCGCAGCACAGTCCAAGGGAGTGCCTTCGGTCCCTCGCCGGAGTTGGCTCCTGCCACCCGCAGCACGCAGCAAGCGGAGCACTTCCGAGGGCCGGCTGGCCTGCCCGGCTGCCCCCGGGCTGCAGGCAAACGGCCCCACAGCCCGAGGACCTCACATTTCGTCAGAGCGGTGGGGCTGCAGGATCACACTGGTGGTACGGTCCACCCAGCCACGCTTCTGCCCGGCAGAGGCAGGTGGGGGAGCCGTCTCCTGCCCCACAGGCTGGTGCACCTGGGACTGCATCTGCAGCCCCTCTGCTCGGAGGGAGGAGGAGTCGGAGGAGAAGTTGCTGCCGCTGCCAGCAGAAGGGGGCTGGCCCTCCGGCTGGCGGCCCGGGCCCTCCAGTGACTGGTTGAGGCTCCCTGTGGGCTGCAGGGGTCCCTCGAGGCCTGCCTCCTTGGAAAGCAGCAGGGCCCCGAGAGAGGCGCTCCCGGGCGCCCCCCCAGGAGACGACGCGCCGGCCGGGACCTGGGTGCTGCCGCTCTGGTACTCCCGCAGCCTCCGAGACAGCACTAGAAGGCAAGGAGAGCCTGTGTGAGGACCTGGGTGCCTCACAGCCCACCCCGCCGTGCCACATGGCAAACGCCGCCCTCCCGCCAAGCCAAGCCACAGCCCTGGGCTCGCGGTCCCTCGCCTCGCTCAACGAAAACGTTTTGTCCAGGCACCGATTCCAGCGGATTTAAGCAGCCTCCAGGCTTCCTGGGGGATTGGCCTCCTTGAACCTCCGGGCTGCTCTCCCCGGCCACGAAACGGGACTGGGTTGGGTGGCTCTCTAGGCCGCTTTCCGCAGGCCCAATCTGATCCGGCAGTGCCGCCTCCGCTCCGGGCATGGCTGACTGCCAGATCAGGTTTTGGCTCTCCTCCCTGCGGAGCTTCCAGGGGCGCAGAGAACACCTGGGGGAGGGCTCCGGACCAACGCACCGCACAGTGCCCCAGGGACCGCCCCGCCACCCGAGGGGGAAAGGGCTCCTCTCCCGGGGCAGCGGGCCAAGACAAGCCCCCCCGGCTCAGCGCCTCCCCTGCCGGCCGGCATCCTCCGTCAGGCCGGGAAGTGCCGCAGGCGCCGCCCTCCTCCTTTCTGGCCCCGCGAGCCCAGCTGGGGCCAACCTGGCTCTGGCAGGCAGGCAGACCCCGGACGGCCACTGGCACTCACCTCCCTGGAGCTCCTGCTGCTGCCCCTGGCCTCCAAAGGGGTACAGGCTGGGTGAGAGGATCAGGCAGCAGGACAAGAGCAAGACCTGGCGGGCAGAGGCACCAGGCTCAGCCAAGGCGAGAGGCAGCTGTGCCAGCCCAGCCCAGCCCAGCCCAGCCCAGCCCAGCCCAGCCCAGCCCAGCCAGCAGGGGGCCTGCAGCCCCACCAGGCGACGGGCTCGCCAGCGGCGCGCGGCCCCGCATGTCCAGCTGGGGCACGTGCCACTGACCCCAGGCAGGTCTTCCGGAGGACCCCATGGCAGAACCGGAGGGACGCAAACGGCCCTGCCGCAGGCGCTCACCATGACACAGGTGCTGGCCGTGGTAGTCTTGGTGGAGGACTGCTGGACCAGGGCCTGCAGCTGCCGCAGCTGCTCGAGCAGGGACCTGCGGCGCAGCAGACACGGGTGCTGAGTTCCACGCGGCCCTGCTCCCCACAACCCTTCCACGGACGACCCCCGTCCACGCACCAAGTGGAGGAGCGAGGCCCAAGCCAAGACCCCCCCCCCCCGCATCTCCCTAGCTTGCTCCAGCCAGGGGGCTTCCCAGCCAGCAGGACGTGCTTCTCACATGGCCTCAAAGGCAGCCGCGATGGGGTGGCGCAGTCCCTGCAGGGCTGCCGTGAGCCCGGGGTGCCTTCAGGCACGCCAGAGTCCCTCCTGTGCCCGAGATGGCCATGGCCCGGGAGGGGGAGGGCCGCCCCCCACCCCGCACAAGGCACTCACAGGTTCTGTTTCTCCAGAAACTGCACCTTCCTCTGCAGCTGGTTGTTCTGGGTTGTGCAGGCCACCACCCTGCCAGGAGCCAGAGGAGAGACCGGATCAGGTAGAGAAGCTGCTGCCCAGCCGGCCTGACCCCCAGGCCAGAGGCAGCGAGGCTGGCGCAGGAGGTTCCGGGCCGTTTGGGGCCCCCGGTGAGTGGGCAGTGGCACATGGGCCACCCTGGGCCCCCTGGGGCAGAAGATGGAGGTGGGGCCAGCTCTCCGAGCCCCGCCTCGCAGGGCTGTGACGCAACATGGCGCTGCCCACCCCTCTGCAGGTGCTCCCCCCACCTGCTCTCCAGGCTGTCCACATAGACCTTCTTCTTCCGGCGGCTGTCCTGGGCGGACTGCTTGTTGCGGATCTTCCGGCGGACTCTCTTCAGGGCCCGTTCCTCGGCCTGGAAAGCGAGCACTTGAAGGTGAGGCTCCCCGGCCAGGGGCCACTCAGGCCTGCGTGCTGGGCCACCACCCAATCAGCCGCAGCTCCTCCGGACCCGGCAGCTCAGGAGCCTAAAGCTGGCCCCGCAGGCCTTGCGCCAGGAAGAACAGGAGCCAGCTGCCACTGCAGGCAGCGTCATGCCCTCGGGTGGGGTACGTGAAAGAGAAGCCCCCCCGGCAGAAGCTGCCTCCCCACGCAGCAGGTCCAAGCCAGAGCCTGCCAGACACCCGGTGCTCCCCCTGCATCCCCCCACTTCTCCGTAGCACTGAGGCCGGGGAGGGGAGCACGGGAAACGGGGAGGCCAGGAGAACCCACCTTGGTCAGGGGCAGGTTGGAAGGGATCAAAACGCCCTCTTTCTCCAGAAGCCGCTTCTCTTCATCCGTCAGGACCAAGGGAGGAAAATCAAACTGGAAAAGAGGGGCCCATGAGATGCAGGCAGCCCAAAATGGGGGCTCCCATGTTGCACCCCAGCAGGGTGAGCAAGGGCCCGTGGAGCAGGCCAGACCCCCAGGGTCAGAGGTAGTCAAGGTGTCGGGGGAGCAGCAAAACGGGGAGGAAAGCCGGCCCCGTACCTGTTGCCTCGGTCCCACCAGGGGCTCTTCGATCGGCACTGCGATGGGCAGGGCAGATCCCCGGCTGCTGCAGCTGGACCCCTCAGAGGTTTCTGCATCCCCCCAGATCTCTGGAAGGAGAGCGGATGTCACACCGAGTGGTCCGGGAGCGAGGGAGGCCAGGCGCCGAAAGGAGAGCCCCCCCCCTCCACTCTCAGCGCACAGCACCCGGCCACAGGCAGCTAGGCTGCACAGACCCAGCAAAGCCGGGCTCCCCACTGGGCCTGCCCCCCGGGCCCCCAACACTCATCACCTCCAAGACACCGTTGGGGAAATCTTTCCAAGAACACCCTGCCATCTGCAGCTCGGCTGAGACTCCCACGGCGAGTCCGCCGGACACCACCCCAGATACAAGCCCAAGGGGGTCTTCTCTCCTCTCCCTCCACGGCAAGAGAGCAGGCGCTTCCCCAGCTCTTCGGGAAGGCACTCAGCCCTCACCAGACCTCTCCCCTTCACCTGCGACAGGGTCTGTGCAGGGCCTGGGGCGCACTCTGCACCTTGGCCTCCCCATCGCGAGCCCAGCCAATCCCCTCCAGGCAGCGGCTGCCTGCCTCCCTCCCTCCCAGGCCGGGACCAGCGCGGCCCCCACCCCCCGCGGCCCGCACTCACCCAGCTCGATGGCCACCTCTGCCTCGCCCAGCCCGGAGCCGCCCCTGCTGCTCTCCAGCTGCGCAGCTTCCTCCCCTGGGGGCTCTGGATGCGAGGAGTAGTTGTGATCCGACTGGATACTTCTGGAGATGGAGGAGCTGCACGCGGGGGCCGCCCACCAACCTGAGGGGCTGCCCGAGAGATCCGGCTCCTCCGCCAGACCACAGTCACCGAACGGCGGGGAGGGGTCCAGGGAGCAGCCGGGCCCCTCCAGGAAGGGGCTCAGGAGGCACTGCAGGAAGTCATCCACCTCCTCGTCGCCGAAGACCTGCAAGGACACACGGCTCGGCTCGGCTCGGCTCGGCCGCAGGGGGCGCCCCCCCCCCCCCGGCGCACTCGGGCGGCGCTCACCTCTGCCTCCGACGGGCCCCAGCCCTCCTCCAGCAGGGAGCCCGGCAGGTCCTGCGCGGGGCCGCCATCGCCCAGGAGGAAGTCCAGCAGGTCCTCGTGGCCCAGGGCGGCCACGTCCTCGGGGCACAGCATCTGGCGCGCGGGGCGGGGCGGGGCGGGGCGGGCTGCGAGGGCCCGTAGCGGCCGCCCTCCCTCTTTCCCCCGCGGCGCTCCGGGCGGCAGCGACGGCGAAGAGCCGCTCGACGGGCAGGCCCGAGGGACGTCCCGGCCGGACCGGGCCGCGGCCCCTCCCCGCCGCCCACGGCGCGGCCCGCTGGAGCCGCCGCCTTTCCTCCCCGGGCAGGCGCCTCCGGGGCGGGCAGACCAGGCAGCAGCGGCGCGTCCGCGTCCCCACGACCGACCGGCCCGCGGAGAGGAAGCCCGCGCCCCGCGCCCCGGCTGCTCGCACTCCCGCGGCCTCGGGCCAACGCAGCAAGAGTGACGTCGGCGGCCCCGGCGCGCCGGGCCCCGCCCCCCGCCGGCCGATTGGCGCTCCGGCGGAGGAGCCGCTCCCCGCATTGGCCGGCCGGGGCCGCCGCTCTGACGTCAGGCGCGAGGGCGGGGCTCGCGCGTCGCCTTCCCAGCGCCGCCGCCTCCAGGCCGCCGCGCGAGAGCTGCGTTTGCTCGCCCGGAGCTGCGAGCGGGCGCGGCCTTGGTGGGAGAGGCCCTTGGGGGCCGGGCCGGGCCGGGCGCGGATCCCCCCGCGGGGCTCGGGCGTGCGGCCAGAAGCCCTCGCTCTGCCGGTCCGCTGCGCGCCAACAGCCTTGTGAGGCTGGCCAGAGAAAGCGCAGACAGAGAGAAGCGGCTGCGTGAGTTCTGCCTGCTCTGGCCATACCGGATTGACGTGCGTCCTCGCTGGGGTTGCGCCCGAGGCCCCCTCTCCGCCAACGTGCCTTTGCACCGTGGCTGGTGGGCTCCGACGGGAAGGGAAGCCTTCTTGCCGGCCCCGCTGAGTGCCACACGCCCCGGTCTGGCCCAGGAAGGGCAGCTGGCTCCCCAGTGTCTCCGTGAGAGGAGAGCAGTAGGGCTTCGGCATGACGGAGCCCCATCTGCGGGCTGCCCTTCCCAGGGAAGCCGTCCTGCTGCTCTGGCCCTGGTCCTTTTGTCACCAGGCGCGGACGCTTGTCCACACAGGAATCCAAGACCAACTCTGAGTCCAGCCAGAGATTCTGCTAGGCAACCAGGTGGCCTGTAGACCTGCAGAATCCCTGGCGCCCCAACTTCGAGTACACACACTTGATATATCTCAGGTATGCTTACCAAGCACAGCCTCACCACCCTCTTGCCCACCTTCCCTTACCTGCCCCACAGCACAATAACCAGCCAGGAGGGTCTGTGCCCCACATGAGACCACTGTCTTCTCCCAGCCGGGTGTCTGTGAGAAGGCCAGGTCAGCCCCCCATCAATAACCAGAGCATGAATGAGCACCGCTTTACTGCAGGCTGACCTGACATTACAAAGGAGCGGCGAAAGGGGCCGCAGTCCGCGCAGGCAGCTGTCTGAGCTGCCCCGGTCGGCAGGGCAACCAGGAGGAGGGAAAGTTACAAGAGGATGTTCCCTCCTCCTCCTCCTCTTGCAGGACGGTATTTCGCCCTGCCAGTGCTGCATCTCCTGCTGCCCTGCAGGTTTTCCCCTACACACAATTCTCAAACCATCACCAAAGGACGGCGCTCCCTGAGGAGACTCTCCTCCGCCAACCTGGCTCTCTTTCCGTCGCCAGGTGAAGACCGCCCTCTGCTGCAAGGCATCTAATTCCTGGGCCTGCTGGTGTTAGGGTCTAACTGGGTCTTTTTAATGTATAACTTTGGGGGGGGGGGTTATTTTATAATATTTTGTACTGTCAACTTTTTATGATGTTTTAATTGAGTATTTTACAAGTAGCCCCCAGGTTAAGGACAAATTCCATTTCCGAGGATGTCCTTAAGTCAAATTTGTGTTAAGTCAGATCATATGAGTAAGTCAAATGTTTGTCTTATGTATATATTTTACTTTTTTTATGCATACACTTTAGAACCACTTCCAGGTTTGCTAAAACATGCTAAACGTGATACAGCATTGTAATAATGATAATACAGTAATGAAGTAACTACAGGTACTGATGAGAAAGAGAAAATCTGTGTGTATACTTGTATGTGCATATAGTTATACAGTATTGCAAAAAAAGAAAGAATTCTTAAAACAGTTTCGAACATTCTTGAGGTAACATTAAGCCTAACATTAACTGATGGTGGTGGAGATGGACCTGGTGCTGGAGAGTTAGGGTCTGAGTGTGCAGCTGGAGAAGGGGAAGTTAACACTGAAGCCTAGGTTTTGGATGCTACAGAACGAAGTCATGAATACTTTATCTCTGGAGAACTAATGGCTACGGAGAGATGCATTGCCAAATGAGTTGTGTAGCACCCTATAGACAGCCTTATTTCCAGAGAAAAGCTGTGAATATCTATAGGGAACTACACAGCCACTGATGGCGTGTTGCATAGTGCCCTAGGGATATTCACAGCTTTTCAGTGGAGATATTCATATAGGGTTTATGGCAGACAATGGGTTTGTAAGTATGGGTTGGTTTTGAAATAGGACCTGCCTTTGTCACCCTGTGGGATGATCTTTGCTGGGAGAGAGACGAGGAGAGCAACCATCCTTAACTGGTCCCTGAGCTCAGTAATGGACTGGATGTGGGCCAGTAAGCAGAAGCTCTATCCAGACAAGATGGAGGTACTGTTAGGACGACGTCTTTCTGTCCAACTGGGGAATCTTCAACCTGTCCTGGATGGGGTTGTGTTCCCCCTAAAAGACAAGATTCTCAGCCTTGGAGTGCTCCTAGATCCTGAACTGTCATTTGTCTCTCAGGTGGACTCGGTAGCCAGGAGCCCTTTCTGCCAGCTTAGGCTGGTTTATTAGCTGTGTCCACACTTGGGTGAGCACGGCCTTGCTACAGCTATCCATGCATTGGAAACCTTGCACCTGGATTTCTGTGATGCGCTCCGTGTGGGGCTGCCTTTGAAAGCAGTCCAGATATTGCGCCTTGTCCAGGACAGGGCAACGCGTCTGCCGATGAGGAATGGCTCTTGCAAACACAGCGCACCAATCCTTCACAGGTTACATTGGCTGCCGGTTGCTGTCCGGGCCCAGTTGAAAATGCTCACAGTAACATACAAAATCCTAAATGGCTTGGAGACGAGATATCTGAGGGAAGGCCCATCTCCATTTGTCCCTGCCCTATCGCTAAGGTCTTCATCAGAGGTCCTTCTACAAGCCCCTCTCCCCAACAAAGCGAGGGGAGGGGGGCGCTAGAGGAAGTGCCTGCTCCGAAGTAGTGCCCCACCTGTGGGATTTCTGCCAACAGAGAGCTGCCAGGCATCCACTCTTTTCGTTTAGACATGAACTGAAAACACTCCTATTCTGTAACTGTTTTGGTGACTGAGTTGGTCTTACAGTTGCTACTGCCATGCTAAGAATTCAAGAAAGTTGCAAAAAATTAGAAAGCGTCCAGCAGAGGGCAACAAAAATGATCCAGGGTTTGGAAACACTGCCCTATGAGGAGAGACTGAGAGAACTGGGCTTGTTCAGCCTCGAGAAGACTGAGGGGGGAGACGGTATCCTTCTTTAAGTCCCTCAAAGGCTGTCACAAAGATGAAGGTCAAGATCTCTTCTGGCTGATTATCAGAGTGCAGGACATGGAATAATAATCAAGTTGCGACAACTCAGATTCAGGCTAGATATCAGGCAAAGGTTCTTTGCTGTCAAAGCAATGAGACAGTGAAACCAGCTGCCTAGAGGGGTGGCGAGTTCTCCTGCACTCGAGACATTCAAGGAGATATGGGACAGTCATTTGAGTGGGATGGTGTAAACTGGCGACCTGCTTGGCCCTTTCCAACTTGACAATTCTATGATTCCATGATACAAATATAATAAATAAATGCCCATATATTGTATTTTAAATACATTGTTGTGATCCACTCAGAGTGTTTTGGCTGTTGGGTGGTGTATGAATGGCTGGATGGATGCCAGCAGCTGTCGGAGAGCCAGGCCAGGTGCTTCCCCTCCGCAGTGATGGGCTCCCAGCAGGCACTGGGGACAGGCCGCAGCAGCAATGTTGCAGGGCCAGGCATCCTCTTCCTCACCGATCCCAAGCCGCTCCCCAGCCCTGAGTACCAGGCAATCATTGCCCTGTCCGGCAGTGTCTCTTGGGGAGCCTATGAATGCAAGTCGGCAGATTATCCTGTCCGCGACAACCTGGCTCAGCTCTTCTGAACTCGGGGCTGTGGCTTCCTTTCTGGAGTCCGTCCACCCCATACATGGGCCACCCTTTCATCTGCTGCTGCTGGCGTTCCCTACCATGAAGGTCTTCTCTGGTATCATTTTTTGATTGGGTAACCTCCCCGCTGGACTGTGGGAGTGCCGTGGACATAATCTAGCTGGACTCCAGTGGAGCTTGTGACAAACTGCCCCACGGTCTCTTGAGTAGCAAACTAGCTGAAAGCGGGCTGGATGGAGCCATGACCAGCTGGATCGGCAGTCGACTCCAGACCTGAGCTCAAAGAGAGCTCCTCAAGGGCGCCTTCTCAAACTGGGGAGGGGTA